GCCGAATGTTAATCACCGAGACAATGGGAAAAATGTCTCCAAGGCATGTCAGAGACCTTCAAGGCAGCCCTTCCCATCACAGTCGTGGAGGCCTAGGAGGGAAAACTGGTTTCCTGGCCCAGGCCCAGGCCCCCTCTACTCTACGCAGCCGTGGGGACATGGAGCCCTGCATCCCAGCTGCTTCAGCTCCAGCCGTGGCTAAAAGGGGCCAAGGTACAGCTCGGGCCATAACTTCAGAGGGTGCAAGCCCCACGCCTTGGGAGCTTACATGTGGTGTTGAGTCTGTGGGTACACAGAAGTCAAGAATTCACATTTGGGAACCTCCACCTAGATTCAGAGGATGTATGGAAATGCCTGGATGTCCAGGCAAAAGTTTGCTGCAGGGGCAGAACCCTCGTGGAGAACTGCTGCCAAGGCAGTGCAGAAGGGAGATGTTGGTTTGGAGTCCCTACGGGGACACTGCCTAGTGGAGCTATGAAAAGAGGGCCATTGTCCTTCAGACCCTAGAATGGTAGATCCACTGACAGCTGGCACTGTGTGTCTGGAAAGGCTGCAGACAATCAACACCAGCCTCTGAAAGCAGCCAGGAGGGGGACTGAACCTGCAAAGCCACAGGGGCAGAGCTACCCAAGGCTGTGGGAGCTCACCTCTTTTATCAGCATGACCTGGTTGTGAGACTTGGAGTCAAAGAAGATCATTTTAGAACTTTAAGATTTGGTTAGATCAGGTGCAGTGGCTCATGTCTATAATCCCAGCACTCTGGGAGGCTGAGGCAGGTGGATCACTTGAGGTCAGGAGTTCGAGACCAGTGGCCAACATGGTGAAACCCCGTCTCTACTAAAAGTATAAAAATTAGTTGGGCATGGTGGCATTGACCTGTAATCCCAGCTACTCGGGAGGCTGAGGCAGGAGAATTGCTTAAACCCAGGAGGTGGAGACTGTAGTGAGCTGAGATCGTACCACTGCACTCCAGCCTGGGTGACAAAGTGAGACTCCATTGCAAAAAAAAAAAAAAAAAAATAGCGACTTCTCTGTTGGATTTCGGACTTGCATGGGGCCTGTAGCCACCCCTCGTTTTGGCAAATTTCTCCCATTTGGGATGGGAGCATTTGCCCAATGCCTGTACCCCAACTGTTTCTGGGAAGTAACTAACTTGCTTTTGATTTTGCAGGCTCATAGGCTGGAGAGACTTGCCTTGTCTCAGATGAGGCCTTGGACTTGGACTTTTGGGTAAACATTGGAATGAGTTAAGACTTTGGGGGACTGTCGGAAAGGCATGATTGTGTTTTGAAATGTGAGGACATGAGACTTGGGAGGAGCTGGGGATTGAATGATATGGTTTGACTGGGTCCCCACCCAAATCTCATCTTGAATTGTAGTTCCCATAATCCTCATGTGTTGTGGGAGGCACCTGTCGGGAAGTAATTGAATCATGGGAGTGGCAACCCCTAGGCTGCTGTTCTTGTGATAGTGAGTGAGTTCTCATGAGATCCGATGGTTTTATAAGGAACTTAACCCCTTTGCTTGACATTTCTCTCTCCTGCTGCCCTGTGAAGATATGCCTTCTGCCATGATCGTAAGTTTCCTGAGGCCTCCCTAGCCATGCAGAACTGTGAATCAATTAGACCTCTTTTCTTTATAAATTACCCAGTCTTGGATATTTCTTCATAGCAACATGAGAAGAGACTAATACATTTAGCTCTTCCTGAGATGTGTTGGAGGGGAAAATAGGCTACATCCTCAAGCAGGTGCATGCTAATGTTGGTAACTCTGGCTTTCCTCTTTGGCTCTCTACAGAAGTAAGTGACTGAATTATCTCTTGTAGCATACTTAATTCCTTTTCTCTGCTTCCCTTCCCTTCCTGTTTTTTCTTGGTAGTGGAGGGAATGCCATGTGGTGGATAGAGGCACCTTAACTTGTTTCTTTTAGACAATGTTTCTAAGATTTTTTTTTTCCATGAAAGAAATAAATACCCCTTGACATGCTTTCTTTTATACTAGAGAAATTTTCTTTGTTTATGTTATCATTGTTAGTAAAAACAAGTTTTTTTAAATGATTCATTCAATCAATTAATATTGATGGGTGGCTACGGATATGAGTCAGATACATGGCATACAACCAAAATACAGGTGTCGTATAGTAGGGCCCTTATGAAGGAGAGTCAGCGGAATAAAGAGGTTATTTTTTTGACCCTGTGGAGCATGGAAGGTTCCACTAATGTTGAGGTGTTTGAACTGAGCCTTGAAAAATGGTTAGCAGAGAGAGATTTGGGAAGGGGAGTAGAACATACACAAAGATAGGAAAGCTTGGAGTGCTGATGGGCCTTTTTTATTTTTTTATTTTTTTTAATCCAAACAGTAGAAGAAGCTACAAGACAAAAGTGGGGAAAAGGGCAAGGAGCCAAGATTGCCATATCCCTGAACTCTCTATGGGAATATATTTTCTGAATCTTTTTGGTTTTGCAACTCATGTATTGTGGATTCTCTCTATATAAAATCTTAATCCAATCATCTTCACTTTAAGTGTCAGGGTAGATTTGGCTACCTTTTTGATATTCTAGGGCTGGGTAAGAGGTGATCGTTGGAGCAATTTCTGTCCCTGATACTTCTATCAAACAGAACCTGTATATGTTTGACACTGTGACTTAACCAGGATGACCTAGCTTTTAACCTCAATATAAAGCACATGGCTATCTGAAAACCCTAGCCTGCCAGCTCCCTCTACAAAACAATAGTCATAATAGTAATTATAAACTTACAGACTCCAGAATACCAATATTGTTGTGCTTACTGAGTAGACAAGGTGGATTGGGGTTTTGTGAGTACAGTCTCAATGCTTCAGATGTTGCTCTTACAATTTTCAGTCTAACGTTCAAAGTGTCTATGCCATTTATTATTTTCTACCTCCTATGAGGCGACAGATAAGTCAAGCCATGCTAACAGGTTAAATGGACACAGTGGAAAATAACCTAGAGTTTAAACCCAAGGGAGAAGTTCATGGAGTCTTGAGTTGTATGTTACACCATTGATTTAATAACTGTTTTATACCACCTGAAATGCCCCATCTATTGCAAGAAACAGCACGTACCAAAGTGTTACAAATGAAAATAAAGCCTGTCACAGAATCAAGGACAAAGGGGAATTATACTTGTATCCTAGGGATGAGATCAAGGCCATAGACTAGACTAAAATATCAAGAAGTCAAAAAACCAAGCCAAGGATTTAGGCTGGATAGAAAGATGAAGCAGGGATTGAGGTGTTTGGGTACAGGTGGGAATTGGGGGCTTGGAATTGGAAGGTTGGAATTAGGTTGTCCTTCACGGATTGAATTGAGCGTAATGCATCCTGCAAGACAAGTTAGATGAGGATGCTATGACCAAGGTTCGTCCAGCAAAATCATGAGTGTGAGGTCCTGAAAAGCTTTGTCTATCTTTGTTCAGGTTTGGAGTAGTGTCTCTGTGGCCCTTCACTGATTGGTCAGAGGAAGGAGGCAGGTGGGGCACCACCCACTCTGCGGCGGGATTTCTGAGGTTGGTGGTCAGGTCCTTTGGGATGCTTTTGCAGGTCCAGCTATTGTTTACAGTTCATGGCCTTACACAGTTTCAGGCTCACTGTACAGTCTTATATAGTGTCGCTTCTTTCCCTTGTTATTCCCACACTAAATCTCTGATATTACTGAGGAACAATATTACATCTTTTAAGGCACCTACATTTTTATAGAGCCTGATTCTAAAGGTATATTATTTTTGTTGAACTTTGAAATAAATTATTGGCATCTGTTGTATATCTCTGCTTGATGTGTATTTATTTATTTATTTATTTATTTATTTTTTGAGTTGGAGTCTCTGTCTCCCAGACTGGAGCGCAGTGGCGCAGTTTCAGCTCACTGCAACCTTCACCTCCAGTGTTCAAGCAATTCTCCTAACTTAGCCTCCTTAGTAGCTGGGATTATAGATGGACACCACCATACCCAGCTAATTTTTGTATTTTTAGTAGATACAGGTTTCACCATGTTGGCCAGGCTAGTCTCAAACTCCTGAGATGTTTATTTTTTAAAATCATGTAAATTTTTTTAAAAAGACCATGTAAATAAAAAAAAGACATAATACTGTGGGCACAAAATAATATTATGCAAAAAATGACTAATTTTTAATGTATTACTAGGTAAGTAAACCCAGCACAATATCTGGTACTCAGTAGATGCTCAATAAATTTTGGTTCAATTGAACAGGGTATTTGTATTATTTAAAGCATTATCTTTTAAACATGATTTTTATGTATGCTGTTTGTCTAAGTCACAGTGGTTATAAATAATAGTATTTATTTTAGCAAAACCATTTTGGAATTAAGCCTAATATTTCTAATACTATAGCTGACATTTTGGTATTACAAACCTCATAAACTTTCATTGGTATCCTTGAATCCATAAAATGTTTTTCTCATCCGTGGGCAAAATATTTAGAAGTGGTCATTGTAAGTTCAAAGTGTATAGCTAAAAACATGAGCTCACTAAACAAATGGGGAACAGACATAATATAAATAGATACTTGTGTTTCTTTTTTATAAAACATTCAGAGACAAAATTTTTTTGTGAAATTTTGTGAATGTCCAGGAAGAGTTTTAAAATGCACATACTGCAATAGCACACAAAGTAACTTCTTTCTGATTCAATTTCATAAATTGCTACATGAAAAAGTACCCTCTAGTAGATAATACTCAGAAATCAGCACTTAATATGGCAGTAATGGTTATTGCTGTCATTCTTTACATCTTTAAAAATAATTAAGCATTACTGCACAGGCATTATAAAGTTCCCCTATCACCATTAAGAGGATATTTGAGGTTTGATGTAATTTAGCAAATTACATTATACAGTAGTTAAGGTTTTTATGTAGTGAAGTGAAATGCGTAGTAGTTAAGCACACTTACTATATAATGCATTGTAGAGTTACACGTCCCAGCTGCTGCCAGCTTTGTTCCAGTGTCATTATTGCTTTGCAGGCTGACGTTCCTCAGGGAGTGATTCGAGTACAAGCTCCCCATCTTTCGAAAGTTTCCATGGCAATACAGCTAACTGAAGAACTAAGAGCCAGTGATGTACTTGCCAGGTTTCTCAGCCAAGAAAGGTAGAGGCCTGTTTTGTGTTAATTATTCCATGCCATAACTCACTCGCTCGCTCTCTCCCCTTCGCTGCTGCTTTTTTTTTTAATTGTGGGGTAGTATGAAATGCTTAAAAATATTGTCTTCCCAGCAGAAGAGAACAGCAGACTTAGCCATTAGACTGTTGGAATGAGTTTAGTTCATTTGATGTGGTATGTGTTCAGATGGAGCCTCATGCAAGCAGGATTTCTGAGCTTTCCTTCACTGGGCCTATGATGGGATTGCCAAGTGAGACCCCTCAATATTCTTTCCAGGATCTGTTGACTGGGGGCTCATTACTGTTTGTAGACTGTAAGGAAAATTACTAATTAGGATGCAGTGGCATTTTAAAATAAAGACGCAACTTTTTCTATGAAATATAATGAATTTTTAAATGCTTAAAAGCAAAAAAAACATAAAGAATTGAAAGAGGACAGCCAGGCCTTTGAGTGCTGAAGTCTCAGGGGGAGAGCATACCTTCCTCGTTAGGGACAACAGTCCCTTCATCTATATTTTAGGGGTGACTGGGCAGGAAGAGTTGTCTGAAAGCTGCTAGCAGCTCTCTCACTGTATTAGGGTATGCCCTTTCCAAAATATTTTGCAGTGTCTTCTCTTAAATTTTAGAGATTCTAACAAGTATATTGAATTTTCAGATTTTGCCCTTTGAATTCTTTCTTTTAGCTGAAGTCATGTTTTTATGCCTCCTCTACCCTCATTTTCATTTATTGAAATAAACTAAATGTTTAAAAACAGAGGGGCATTGGCCAGGTGAGATGGCTTACGCCTGTAATCCAGTACTTTGGGAGGCCAAGGAGGGCAGATCACCTGAGGTCATAAGTTTGAGACCTGACCAACATGGAGAAACCCTGTCTCCACTAAAGAAACAAAAAATTAGCTGGGTGTGGTGGCGCATGCCTATAATCCCAGTTACTCGGGAGACTGAAGCAGGAGAATCGCTTGAACCTGGGAGGCGGAGGTTGCGGTGAGCCAAGATCACACCATTGCACTCCAGCCTGGGCATCAAGAGCAAAACACCATCTCAAAAAACAAACAAAAAAACAGACCAAAAAAAAAAAAAAAAAAAAAAAAAAAAAAAAAAAAAAAAAAAACCACCAGAGGGACATCCAGGTCATTGTCATTTTAGTTTGTGAATACTCTGTCTTGTCTTAACCTCCTCATTCTAACATTTGGGGTCTTCAGTCAAGCTTTCTGCCAAAGCCTCTCCAATTTTAATATATGGTACTAGAAATACTTAATATGCTTCTGTTTTAGCACAGGGCCTTAAACAGAACAGAAACATATTAAATACTTTTAGTACCATAATTGGAAGGGGAGATATAAACATACATTTTGAAGCACCTTCCCTCAGTGTTTATAAATTGGGAGAAAGGATGAATCCATGTAGCTAACAGATGGTGATGAAATGAGAGAGAGGCTCATTGGTAATATCCAGGCTTCAATAAACCAGCGTAAACTTCCCTCAGAACAGCACTCTGAAGTAAGTGCTATTGTTACGTCTGTTTCACTGGTAAGAAAAGGGAGATTTGCAAGGTCACACGTTTTTCACAGGTGGTAGAGCTGGAATTCTAAGTCTGTGGTCTCACTCCAAAGGCAGTCCCTAAATTGTTCTCCACACTGGCTGGAGGATCTCAGAGCGTCATAGATCTGGGAAGCACTAGTGCACAGTCCGAGAGTAGACGGGTTTGGGGGGATTATTTCCTGGGGGCAGTTGGAAGATCTCAGATGTCTCTGCCCCCTGCGGTGTCTCACAGCTTCTGCAAAGTCAGTCCACTTCCTCTCTGCTTCCAACCTTAACTTAGTAGATACCAGCCTTTGCCATTCATCCCACCAGTCATGCTCTCATTCTTTTAATGATGAACTTGTTGATTAACATTACACAAAAGTCTGTGCATACTAGGAAATCCAGTTCCTGTTTCTTTAAAATGGAACACAGATACTTGAGAATCAATCTGAGAGCAATATCTAACCAGACTTTTTTCTTTAAATCAAGTCTCCTGAAACATTCAATTTGGCTTTTACAGAAACAGGGACTCTCTTTAGACCCATGGTTGGTTGTGTTATGTACTAGATTAAAAACAAAAATAATAATTATTAAATTATTTAATTTAAAAGATAAACCTACACCCTGGTTGGAAAAAAAAGTGGATCAGATGCAGCGTAGCAGATGGAGCCTAGCGTGAGGGCCCAGACAGCCCTGAATGTCCAGTTCCAGACACACAGGGTGGGGAGAGATAGGAGGAGAACCAGATTTGCCGTTCCGTGGCTGGTGAGGAATGCTGCTGTCATACCATGTCCTTCCTCATGGCTTGAATACAAGTCAGACCTGATTTTCTCTTCTCAATTCCAGAGAGTGTGTCTTCAGGCCCTTATCTCATTGGTCCACTAACCTTGCCATGCTTCAGTATCCACTCTAGATAATTTAAAAAGCAATTTCTTGGGCTTCATCCTAGACAAGTTACATCTGAGTTTCTAGAGCTCTCAATGTGAATTTTCAGCAGGTTTCTCAGGTTTCTTTTGCAGAAAGATTTGAAAGCCACTGAATTTTACCAATTTTTAAGTTTGAACCTAATGTTCTTGAACAGTTTATTCTTTGAAGAGTGTAAATCTTTAAACGTGACCTGCTTGGTAAAAGTTCAGTCTTTGTAATGACATAATTTACTTCTACTCTGAGGGTCTGTGCCACCCTCATTTGCACAGCCAACAGAGTAGCGTGCTTATTCTTTTTTATTTTTTTCTTTTTGAAGACAGAGTCTCATTTTGTCACCCAGGCTGGAATGCAGTGGTGCAATCTCAGCTCACTGCAACGCCCATCTCCTGGGCTCAAGCAGTCCTCCCACCTCAGCCTCCAGAGTATCGAGGATCACAGGCACACACTACCATACCCAGCTTAATTTTCTGTATTTTGGGTAGAGATGCATGTTACACAGGCTGGTCCCAAACTCCTGGGCTCAAGCGATCCACCTGCCTTGGTCCCCCGAAGTGTTGGGATTACAAGCATGAGCCACCACATCCAGCCAGAAGCATGTCTTATTCTTTATCTGCATCTTGCTCACTATTGGAGTTGTCAGCACAGCAAACTCATGATAAATACTTACTGAATAAGCACGTGAAAACTAAGGTGGAAACATTTCTTTTAATAGTTTTATGAGGACCATTTTGGCTTGTATACAAAGTGGATAATCATACTAATAATTTGATTGGCAGCTGAAATGTTACATTAAATTTTCCTTTGAATTGTACAGATTTGGATGCTGATTTACTGTTTTGCCTTCAGTTGTATAATTCCATTTGCTTATTTTAATTTACAGGTGTGACACTTTTGTTACCTATTGGGTACATTTAACAGATGGGAAAATACAAATGTATAGATAATGACACTGTGTCTAAGTTATGAATTTTCCATACCAGCCAGAATTCCCTGAGCACATTAAAATGATTTACTTGCAAGCTGTTCGATGATACAACTAATCGGTTTGTTTTGTCCTCATAGTGGGGTTGCCCAGACTCTCAAGATAGGAGAAGTTTTTCTGTATGAAATTGGAGGAAATATTGGTAAGCACATTTTTTTCTCTTTGCATTCTATATGCTGATTTAACATTGCCAGCAGTTATTATTTTTGTCTTTAGAGGAAGAATAGGAAATTAGAAGTAAAGTGTATCATGCTTTAGTTAGTTGCTAAATATTGTGAATTTGTTTAATAGTTTGGCTTTTCTCTTCAGGCTCTGTTTGAGCTCCTTCTGTACATATGCCCATCAATGTTCAATTTCAGCAAAGGCAAGTTTCCTGTACCATAAGAATAACTACTGGAATGGTTAACGATACAAGTTTTTCAAAATTTTCTTCTTTTTAATATACTTGTGTCACATAGTAAAGGAAGTACTTGAGCCTATGTAAGGCTGACATTATACTTTATTATAGTATAGTATTAGATAACTTTAGTAAAAGCAGTTTTACATTTACCAGAGTTGATTTCCTGCTAAATTTTATGCACATGCGCATACACTCAAAATTCACATCAGTAATTTAAAAAATGGGATGAATGTTGACCATGTTTTATATTTTACCCTTTTGTAATTATCAGGGAGTCTTACTCATCTCTTTTCAAAAATTTAAAATAAACTTTCTCTCTTTTTTGACTCTTGGAAATGGTAAAGGTAAAATTGTTAAGAAATAAATAAGATAATGTTAAGTTCAAAATAGTAATTAAAATAAGTTTACAATAAATTTTATAGAATTTTTGGGGGGACTTAACAATGTTAGTAAATATTGAAAGTTAAATATAGTAATGTAAAGGTTCATTCTTAAATAGGCCACAACACTAGAAACCCGGACTTGTTAGCTCTATTAGTAAAGGGCATTTAAATACTAATGTATTAGATTTTTAATTTTACTTTGGATCTTAGGAATTAAGTGTACTCTTAGGTGAATTCAAAACCATTGCCCCTCCTAATGAGGTGAATAAGCTTTTAAGGAATCATTTAAAAGCCAATCATACGAAGTATTTTCAGCTTCCTAAATTAATTTGAAACCTATTCATTTAGAGAAAGACTACCAGATTCACTTTTCCAATTGTTGGCCAATTCTTATAAATTGTGGGAAACAGGAAAGAATAAGAAGTGTTTGTTTGTTTTTTTTGGCAACAGTTTCTTTCTCTGTCACCCAGGCTGGAGTACAGTGGCGCAATCTTGGCTCACTACAACCTCCACCTCCTGAGCTCAAGATACCCTCTTACCTCAGCCTCCTGAGTAGCTGGGACTACAGGTGTAAGCCACCATGCCCAGCTAATTTTTGTATTTTTTGTAGAGACAGGGTCTCATTATGTTGCCCAGGCTGGTCTCAAACTCCTGATCTCAAGCATTCTGCCTACCTCAGCCTCCCAAAGTAGAATGAGAAGTATTTTTAAGTCCAAGACTTAAGGCATAAATAATTAAGCTTCAGTTTAAAATTGCATGCCAGTCTTCCTGATGTATTAAACTGACACAACATCTCTCTTAATAGGGGAACGCTGCCTCGATGATGATACTTACATGAAGGATTTATATCAGCTTAACCCAAATGCTGAGTGGGTTATAAAGTCAAAGCCATTGTAGAGGATGTAACAAGCTGCAGATAACCATGTGGACTTCTGTAATAATTCTTGCTGAGTCAAAAGTGTAGATAAAAGAAATGGCAGGACTCTTATGATGCAGCTGTACCCACCTATTTAAGAGTGACTCTCTGAAGCCTTAAAAAGTCATAGATTTGTGCTGCTGCCAGAATGATATTAATTATTATTAATGTTATTAGAAAAAAAACTTCTGGAGTGAGAGTAATGAGGCTTAATTAGCTTATGAACAGTTGTCATATGCTCTGTGGAATGTGTCCAGATGTGATGTTGTTTTTTAAAATATGTGAAAATATATTCTCTTCCCATTTGCTAAAATCATATATACTGTAATATATGCTCTCTCACCTCTATTACCTCTTCACATCTGCCCTTTGCCAGTTAGGTTTGCTTTTTGACCAAAGAGATAACAAATACAAGATATGGCAAATTGTGAAAACAGCACATTAAAACATACCTAATTTCACAGTATTCCTGTCATGACAGAATGTTAGTATTCATCTCTGAATCATTTGCTCAAATAATAACATTCCACCTTCTCCTGCTGTATCACGGGAGGTGATTTGCATTTTTTTTTTCAGTTCATCTGACTTATGTGCACCGAACTGTATCAGCGATCAAGAAAATAGGAGTCAGAAGCTGCCGGTTATTACTGAACCGTTAAATACTTATATACTAAGGATAAATAAAATATACCTATGTGAAATAATAACTGGATTATGGATAACAACAGTGAAAGCCAAAGAACTTTCTGTCTACTGTATTCTTCTAAATGGAATTTTAAAAGTCATAGCTGGCTTTACGTGTTGTCATATTAGCATTATAAATATGCATGAGAGTATAATCCAGTAATGGCTGAAGAATGTATTTTACTAAAGAGGGATTTAAAAAAAAAAAAAAAAACTCCTGAATAAGTCTACTGGAAGAGTTATTCTTCTGAGTGAATAAGCTTTTGTTTGTGTTCTTATTTTAAATAATTGAAGTCAATTTATTAAAATGTTGTGGAAAGTACTATTCCCAGGGATTTTAATGCACAAACCATAGTGTGACAAGAGATGAGCCTCTGTACTGTAAATAAAAGAAATGAAATAGAGAAATGTTAAATATTTTATGAGTTTAGAATGTAGTAAATAAAAGGTGATGTTAATGAATGCTGCACAAATGGTGTTTATACGATACTTTGAGTAGTACTTTAGGAAAATCACACGTTCTCAGAAGCTCTTGATATCTCTAATTGGGTGGGGGAATGCTGTTAATGAGAACAGTCATAAATTTTTAGCATATAATTACAAGAACAGCCTGTGGATATGATCACTTAAATAATTTTGTGGTGATTCGTGCCATTGATTTTTTATTTAAAAGAAAATTTTGTAATTAAATGCCTTTTTCTAAATTATCTTCTCTTGGAATCATTACTTTGAATCCTATGTGTTTATGAGTCTATTTTTGCTTTTTCTTTATGAATATTATTTAAAATGGACTATTTTTGTTATTAAAAGTCACCTCTACTCATATTTCTCCTATTTTCTTTTTAATTTTTAAAATAGGAAGATGTGGGAGATATAAATGTGTTTCCATCTTTAGTTTTTTTTCTTATACAAATTTCTATTCTTTAGGACTTTCAAAATAGCTTAATTTGTTTCTGATTTTGACAATTAGTATTGTATTAATTTCCCAGTTAGCAAAATGGTACTGATTTGTGGGCTGAAAACAACAACATAAAAGAAAAATTAAGTACTTGGAACATTTTAGAACTATACAACTTAAAAAAAAAAGGATAGCAGTGAGGATAATGATTTAAGTAAAAGGTTTTCTGAAGCTTATGCCAAGTAATTTTCACTATGTTTGCTATCTACCTAAAAAGGAGGGTCAGGAGGGAGGCACAACATGTTTTGACCATGGAAAAGTATCAGATCTTAATTTTAAAAAGTGAAAATGCCATTATAAGTCCCGTTTAGAACTTATGACCCAAATTCATTTATATTGAATAATATCACATTTAAATAACCCCAAAATATGCACTTTAAAAAATCTTTATATTTTTAGAGACAGCGTCTTGCTCTGTTGCCCAGGCTGGAGTACAGTAGTGCATTCATGTTAACTGCAGCCTCAAGCACTGGGCTTAAGCAAACCTCCTGCCTCAGCTTCCCGGGTAGCTAGGACCATAGCTGCATGCCACTGTGCCTGGCTCGTAAGAGAAAAAAAGCTTGATACTATAAAGCCTTAAATATAAATGTCCTGATACTAACCTAATGCTTTTGCTGTAATTTTTTTTTCCATGGTGACTTTTAAATCTCAGGCTAGGGGTGTGTATGTGTGTGTGTGTCAAAAACATTTGCCTTGAGTTTGAAACATTTGAGCTCTTAAAGGAGGACTGATTGCCCTGTTGATGTTGGTGATGCTCTTTTCTGAAAGAGGGTTTATTAATCTGTTCTCACACTAATATGAAGAAATACTTGAGACTGGCTAATTTATAAAGGAAAGAGGTTTAATTGACTCACATAGTTGGGGAGCCATCAGGAAACTTACAATCAAGGCAGAAGGGGAAGCAAATATGTTCTTCACATGGCATCAGGAAGGAGAAAAATGAGAAGTGCAGAGTGAACGGAGTCGGGGGGAAGCCCCTCAAAACCATCAGATCTTGTGAGAACTCACTGACAATCACAAGAACGGCATGGGGAACTGCCCCCATGTTTCAGTCACCTCCCACCAGGGTTCCCCCCCTAACATTTGGGGATTACAATTCAGATTACAATTCAAGATGAGATTTGTGTGGGGACACAGAGTCAGAGCATATCAGACAGAGGTCATTGTAATTCTTTCCACTTACACAATCTTTGCTTAATGCTGCTGTAGAATTCGATGTAAATTCCTTACTAGTACTCTTTGGGAAAGGCAGTTTATTTTACCGACTTCATGGGATTTTTCACCATTGTTTCCTTGTTTTCATTAAACTGGTTTGCGTTTTCCATCTCATTGTCCTGGTTTTCACCTACTCATCAGTAGGTGGCAGTATTGGTCAGGGATTCTTTTCAATCTACAGGACGTTTTAAAAGTGAACCTGAGTTCATAGGGAAGTTGCTAACCAGTGCCAGGCATCTGAGAGGCAGTTGGGTGAGAACACTGGGGAGCTCTTGTTTTTATTGCTGATTCTGAAATTGTAAATAATGATTTCATAGTTTCTATATTTAATATTTGTCTGCTTTTATTCTTAATCCATTTAATGGGAAGGACGGGAGAAGAGATTTTTCTAAGCTGAAATTAGGCTTTTGACATCTATTTCAAGCAGAAGGATTATGACAAGAGGGAAGGCAGTGAACTGGAAAAGTAGGTGAAGGGATGTCTAAGAGGGCATAATGAACTCTGACTTCTTATTATTTTACTTTAAGTTCTGGGATACATGTGCAGAACGTGCAGGTTCATTACACAGGTATACCTCTGCCATGGTGATTTGCTGCACCCATCACCCTGTCATCACCATTAGGTATTTCTCTTAACGCTATGCCTCCCGTAGTCTCCCCAACCCCCAACAGGCCCTGGTGTGTGATGTTCCTCTCCCAGTGTTTATATATTCTCATTGCTCAACACCCACTTATGAGTGAGAACGTGCAGTATTTGGTTTTCTGTTCTTGTGGTTAGCTTGCTGAAAATGATAGTTTCCAGCTTCATCCATGTCCCTGCAAAGGACATGAACTCAACCCTTTTTAAGACTATATACTATTCCATGGTGTATATGTGCCACATTTTCTTTATCCAGTCTTATTGATGGGCATTCAGGTTGGTTCTAAGTCTTCACTGTTTTGAACAGTGCTGCAATAAACATACATGTGCATGTGTCTTTATAGTAGAATGATGTATAATCCTTTGGATAAATATCCAGTAATGGAATTTCTGGGTCAAATGGTATTTCTGGTTCTAGATTCTTGAGGAATTGCCACACTGTCTTCCACAGTGGTTGAAATAATTTACACTCCCACCAACAGTGTAAAAGCATTCCTATTTCTCCACATCCTTTCCAGCATCTCTTGTTTCTTGATTTTTAATGATCGCCATTCTAACTGGCATGAGATGGTATCTCATTGTGGTTTTGATTTGCATTTCTCTAATGACCAGTGACGATGAGCTTTTTTTCATGTTTGTTGGCTGCATAAATATGTCTGTTCATATTCTTTGCCCACTTTTTGAGGTTTGTTTTTTCTTGTAAATTTGTTTATGTTCCTTGCAGATTCTGGATATTAGTCCTTTGTCAGATGGGTAGATTGCAAAAATTTTCTCCCATTCTGTAGGTTGCTTGTCCATTCTGAAGATAGTTTCTTTTGCTTTGCAGAAGCTCTTTAGTTTAATTAGATGCCGTTTGTCAATTTTGGCTTTTGTTGCAATTGCTTTTGGTGTTTTAGTCATGAAGTCTTTGCCCATGTCTATGTCCTGAATGGTATTGCCTCAGTTTTCTTCCAGGGTTTTTATGGTTTTAGGTCTTACATTTAAGTCTTTAATCCATATTGACTTAATTTTTGTAAAAGGTGTAAGGAATGGGTCCAGTTTCAGTTTTCTGCATATGGCTAGCCAGTTTTCCCAACACCATTTATTAAATGGGGAAATCCTTCCCCAATTGCTTGTTTTTGTCAGGTTTGCCAAAGATCAGATTGTTGTAGATGTGTGGTGTTCTGTTCTGTTCCAATGTATATATCTGTTTTGGCACCAGTACCATGCTGTTTTTGTTACTGTAGCCTTGTAGTATAGTTTGAAGTCAGGTAGTATGATGCCTCCAGCTTTGTTCTTTTTGCTTAGGATTGTCTTAGCTATTCGGGCTGTTTTTTGGTTCCAAATGAAATTTAAAGTAGTTTTTTTCTTATTTTGTGAATAAAGTCAATGGTAGCTTGATAGGGGTAGAATTAAATCTATAAATTACTTTGGGCAGTATGGCCATTTTCATGATATTGATTCTTCCTATCCTTGAGCATGGAATATTTTTCCATTTGTTTATGTCCTCTCTTATTTCCTTGAGCGGTGGTTTGTAGTTCCCCTTGAAAAGGTCCTTCACATCCCTTGTAAGTTGTATTCCTAGGCATTTTATTCCCTTTGTAGCAATTGTGATTGGGAGTTAACTCATAATTTGACTCTCTATTACTGGTATATAGGAATGATTGTGATTTTTCAACATTGATTTTGTATCCTGAGACTTTGCTGAAGTTGCTTATCAGCTTAAAGAGATTTTGGTCTCAGATGATGGGGTTTTCTAAATATACAATCATGTCATCTGGAAACAGAGAAAATTTGACTTCCTCCCTTTCTATCTGAATCTCCTTTATTTCTTTCTCTTGCCTGATTGCCCTGGACAGAACTTCCAATTTCATGTTGAATAGGAGTGGTGACAGAGGGCATCCTTGTCTTGTGCCGGTTTTCAAAGGGAATGCTTCCAGCTTTTGCCCATTCAGTATGATATTGGCTGTGGTTTTGTCATCAATAGCCCTTATTATTTTGAGATATGTTCCATGAATACCTAGTTTATTGAGAATTTTTATCACGAAGGGATGTTGAATGTTTGCAACGACTTTTCCTACATCTAATGAGATAATCATGTGGTTTTTGTCATTGGTTCTGTTTATGTGATGGATTATGTTTATTGTTTTGCATATGTTGAACCAGCCTTGCATCCCAGGGATGAAGCCAACTGGTCATGGTGGATAAGCTTTTTGATGTACTGCTGGATTTGGTTTGCCAGTATTTTATTGAGGATTTTGATGTTCATCAGGGATATTGGCATGAAATTTTTTTTTGTTGTGTCTGCCAGGCTTTGGTATCAGGATGATGCTGGCCTCATAAAATGAGTTAGGGAGGAGTCCCTCTTTTTCCATTGTTTGGAATAGTTTCAGAAGCAATGTCACCAGCTCCTCTTTGTACCTCTGGTAGAATTTGTCTGTGAATCCGTGTGGTCCTGGGCTTTTTTTGGTTGGTAGGCTATTAATTACTGCCTCAATTTCAGAGCTTTTTAGTGTCTATTCAGGGATTCTACTTCCTCCTGGCTTAGTGTTGGGAGGGTGTATGTGTTTAGGAATTTGTCAATTTCTTCTAGATTTTCTAGTTTATTTGCATAGAGGGGTTTATATTATTCTCCGATGGTAGTTTGTATTTCTGTGGGATCATTGGTGATATCCCCTTTATAATTTTTTATTTTCTCTATCTGATTCTTCTCTCTTTTCTTCTTTGTTAGTCTAGCTAGTGGTCTATGTTGTTAATCTTTTAAAAAAACCAGGTCCTGGAGTCATTAATTTTTTGAAGGGTTCCTTTGTGTCTCTATCTCCTTCAGTTCTGCTGTGATCTTAGTTATTTATTGTCTTCTGTTAGCTTTTGAATTTGTTTGCTCTTACTTCTCTAGTTCTTTTAATTGTGATGTTA